CACTGGGTCAGCTGGCCAATCAGAGCAGACTGTGTTTGTCGAAAGGAGGGGCTTTGTAGAAAACTAGGTGTTTGAGAGAGGCGGGGCATAGAGGACCTACAATAATGTATGTAAAGCATGTCAACATATTCTGTTACACCAAATAATGATCTTTAAAACAGCATCATATGACCCCTTTAATAAATGTACTTTAAACCCCCCCCCCCCACTATATTTTCTTGAATGCTGTAATTTAACCCAGTGTCTTCTAAATCAAGCCAAATACTATAAATATAAACACAATGAAAATGAATGCTGTGATAATGACTTTGACACTTGTATTTAAATGACCGAGAAATACACAACCGTTCAAAAGTTTGGGGTTGATAAGATTTCTCAATGCTTTCGAAAGATATCTCTATTTTTTTTTAAATACAGTAAAAACAGTTATATTGTGAAATATTATTAGCATTTAAAATAATTGTGTTCTATTAATGATCTATGGATACATGATGATCTATGAACATATTTTAATTAAATATATATGTGTAAAACAGTTATGCTGGAAACCGAAATACATTTTTTTCAGAATCCTTTGATGAATATAAAGTTCAAAAGAACAGCATTTATTTGAAATAGAAATCTTTGGTAAAATTATAAATGTATTTACTGTCACTTTTGATCAATATAATGCATCCTTGCTGAATGAAAGTATTAAATAGTGTAATTATAAATATTATTTTGCAAAACTTGTGTACGACTAATTCCTCTGTTGTGGGACTGTATTAGATGTACTTATATTGTGAATGCATTGTATTTTGAAGTAGATTCCTCTTCCTGGCATTTCAATTCAAAGTTCTGAATTCAGTTTTGCACAACCCTGCTCCAAAGAGTGGGCTTCTGAATGAGGACGATTTTAGTCCTCTGAATAAAATAAGAGTTGAGAGAGTTTACAGCTACTTCTAGAACAGCACACTGACCATAGAAGAGTCTGAGGGTTTCCAGGCCCAAGAAGAGGAGCAGCAGGACAACATCCAATATCAGATTGGCTTGTGGGTAAGGCAGGATCACCCCTACAAACGGCACAGCAAACACTGATTTCTTCACATATAAAAAACATATACATCTCAACTGCTCAATGCTTTATTGAGCCCATACATCACCTTTGTAGATAAACATAAGAATCTCAGCGATGAAGAACGCTGCAAAATACCAGCCGTTCAAGTGAAACAGGATCTGCAGTGGTGTGGAGGACAACTGAGATACTTTGTTAAGAAGCAACATAAACGGTAAAGAAAGATAGAGGTGTAATTCAGGAAACTGTAATGGAAGGATACGACAGGTTGTCTTCCTGCAAAAGCAAAATGAAATACTGAATTAATGAACATAATGTAGGTGTAAGGAGAGACTGGGAATTGTTGATACTCTCTCTGTCTCTTTCTGTTTTTAGGCCTAATCTCTCAAAGAGGCTGAATTCAGCTTCTTATTCACAGCTTCTTATTCACGCTATCCATTCCACCTTAAACACGCGTTTCTTATCTCCTTATTCATGTAAATTAGGGACCGTCTCTATTTGTGTCTCTTTTTCAGAAACAAACAATAAACTATTTTAAAATGTAAATAACACTGAGATAAGAGCGAAAACGGGCTGTCGACATTACATCTAATTACATCATATGTTAATTATTAAACGTGCATGTCATCGTTTGAGTGCAGTAATGATTTTTTTTTTTGTGAAGACTTCTTATGACCCAGCACCTGTGAATAGAGGACTCCAGATACAAAATTATGACATTTGCATTGCTTTAAAATGCACACAAAGTTTGCTTAAATGCATATATGGTATTTGTAAATACTATAATTTGTACTAGCTGAATTCAGCCTCGTCAAAAATGTACCAACCTCAGACTACAATCAATATCAGTCAATTTAAGATCTGTTATCACAAAGCAAACTTTAAGAAATGATGCTCAATATGTAAAACTAATGAGATAATCTGTAACAACATGAAATTCACATTCTTATTAAATCCATATTTTTAAATACAAAACACTGATTTTAAAATATGCATTTGATTCATAAATGATTTTTTCTTTTCTTTTCAATACTTGGTAGTTTACATTTTTCTCCAGCGGGCATCCATACGGTAGATTCACTAACGTTACCGAAAAGTTAAAACAAGTAACGCAAAAGTAACGTAACGCATTACTTTCCATAAAAAGTAACTAAGTAACGTAATTCGGTACTTTTAACGGAGTAACGCAATATTGTAATGCATCACTTTTAAAAGTAAAAACTGCTTTTGGGGAAATCAAAGATGTGCTGAAGCTTCTGAAGCGACTATCAGAAGAATAACGTGGGTATGTAACGTTACACGAATGAATGCAGCTTATGCTTGCTTTATACAACACGCGATAAAAACTCACGACCCATGACGCACAAGCATCCCAGTCTAGCATTTATATTACACCAAGTGCTCGGTTCATAAGCAAATCACAGGCTTGAATTCGAGTTCATAAATATTTCCTAGCATGACAAACGACAGTAACGTTAGTGTTGTGAATGGCTAGCATTAGCTAGAAGATGCTTCCCCTTCATTCGAATCAAAAGAGCATTCATTGATCGCTTGTTCTTTACCAAACCGTTTTATTCTGCTTCATAAAAGCCATTCGCTCTGTTCACAATAAAATATAAGTACATGTGTGCCGACTTTAAGCTAAATCCACTCTAGTAAATCCCAAACACCTTTCTGCTTACCGTGTGCGGCCATGTTGAATTGCCATGGAAACGGCATACTGTGGGCGGAGACAACCATCAGCCGTCCAATCAAAACACGCATGAAGAAAACAAGCGCGTTTAGTTGATAACTGTACATGCCTTTATTTGAGCAGAAACGATTTTACTGCATTCTATTTACTTATAAATCGAGTTCAGTACACTGTACGAAAGTACATGCTTTTTAAAGAAAACAACTTTGTTGATTACCAGATAAAACCACTGCTGAAACAGAAAGACAACACAGCAAACAGGCTGTAATAATAATAATTAAAAAAAAAAAGACTAAATAAAATTACAATTTCTGCATTACTACTGAATCACTTAACACATATTATGATGTGAATTAGCTACAGTTACGCTATCGTCATGAACGTCTATGAAAGATTTCTGTTCCGTGTCATGGTTTATGTCGAATTGTTTCGCTCCTTGTGCTCCTAAGAGAAAAGGAATGAGAAGGCATGTCAGTCTAATCGATCTTATACCACACTAAAGCTAGATATGCAAAAGAATCACGCAAGTAAGAAGTCTGTGAAGGTTTGCCTTCAGCTTTTGATGATGCATTGGGGTCCTGCAGTGTTCGTCTTTGGCCTCTTCCTCACTGGCATAGATGGCATTACACAAGCTGCAGAAGTAACCCACCACAGGCCGAACAAACTCTGTCCCTGTTGGTAAAGTACAACAGATCAGTTGAGCATTAGCAGAGCTGTACGGTCCATATAGCACGCCCTCGAGTGCCTTACTAGCTACACACGCTCTTACCCACTGGATCCATCACAGGTGTTTGCATCTCTGGCACGACGTCTGAATTTTCCACCTTCGTTCCGCTTCCTTCATCAGCTGCAGAATCTTGCTTCTCATCTGCCTTTGAGTTGACATCTTGATTATCATTCGAGGACTCCTAAAATCAGTGTAATTTATCACCAAACTCAGAATATCAGTAGTTATACAGCACAGCAGCATCTGAAAGCTTGCAAAACAGGGATTTGACCAAAGCCAGGTGGTTAAATTGCAAAAGAGAATGATTCACCTTGACACTCGCTGATGTTTGGATAGACGGCTGCTCAGAAATAGCAGAGATTTGTGTCTTGGATTCATCATTTTCCTCCTCGAACTCAGTAGATGCTTGTAGAGAACCATCACTAGGTCCATGTAGAATATACCGAGCAAACAACACAAAACAAATAGGAGTAAATTTGGTGTATGGATGCAATGAATGATTGTCATCAACCAGATAACTTGTATGACTTGTGAAAAAATACATTGCTTACATTCAAAAAATGTGCAAATTGAATACTATAAAAACATATGAAGACCACGCGAAACAGCATGTGGAAAAATGTTAACAAATATGAACGTTACACAACACAAAGTCAAGTGTTTGTCCAGTTTTCAATAAGAGGAACAGTAACATACGACTCAAAGACTTCTATTTCCTTATAATCCCATTAGTTACTGTTCTCATAAAAATAGCATTACCGGTGTTAGATGTAGGATTCAATTAAACACGGTGCATTTAAAACGAAAATTTAACATCCAAAAAATATATTTTGTTTCCTCTGTTGTACTCAAGCTGGTTGATATAAAGCTCAGTAATATCTATGATGAGCCTTGTAGCAAAGCACCTCTCAAACACACTAAACAGCACACACCTCTGTCCAAAAACCTGACAAAGGCAACCCACATCAAACCCTATGCTTATTATTTCATTTGAATATGAAGTGCTTTTGTGCTTCGAACGGTTTGGGGTTGTGCACTTCGTCAAGCATTTTTACCCAAAGAAATACATTTTTCACTATTCTCAACAGACATCACTTGACTAATTGTTAATGATGCGGACTATAATCAATTTTGCAGGTCTTGAAATATATATAAATTACTATCAAATACCTTTTATTTAAATGAGCATGTTTGGTAGACACTGAAATCTTGGGATTTTTTCCAGCAACTGTAATTTCATTCATGTTGGCCGCAGCTACAACCTTTTCTGCATCAGAGGCCTTTTTCATTTCAATCAGTCCCTGGGGGGGGAGAACATTTTAAGATTTCATTGATGGAAGCACTGAATTAGTAGTTATATCTACTAACCGTTTGATGGAGGCGAAACATCCAATGGTGTACTACTTTTCCATATGGTTCTGCGATGCTCAGGAAATCCTCATCAGTGTACTCATCAGGCATTGGAAGGTTTCTGATCTGGAGAACTCTGCCATACGCTTCCTGAAGTATTGGAAAGCGGCAGAACACCGTGTTAGCTGAGCTGTGTAAAATCAATGATGCGGCAATGTATACACGTGTTTTGTGGCCCCCATAAAAAGACATGCACTGCTAAAAAGACACTAAATTTGAGATTCATATTGGACCCTGTGAGAAATTATTTCTTGATTTTACCTCCTCATCACTAGATGCTTGCATGATTGTGTCCATGTTGGTTTCCTTTCCTTCCCGAGCCTCAGCATCTTCTTCAGAGTTCTCGGTCTCAGCCATCACTACTGTACTCTCCTCACTGGAAGCCAGTGTGCTTGAGGGCTCCTTATTGTTCTCTTCAATATCTTCCTTAACTTTCTCTTTCTCAGAGTCAATCCTTTGCCTTGAAACAGAATCGAATATCATCTGATGTGTTTTTCAGACCACACAAGCACAAAAGGAGAATTAGTCATTTAAATGTAAGCTACCCCTCGTTCAATTGGCTGTATTTCTTTGACACTGATATCCTTAAGTTTCTGCCACCTAGTTTAACGTGTTGCCTTTTACACTCGGCTTCAAGTTTTGCAGCATCGGCACCATTCACCATCTCAATTAATGCCTTCTCCACCTGCAATGAAAACGTAATTAACATAATTCTACAAATATCACACAGACAAAACCTGCACCTCACATATCATGAACAATTAAGAGTAGAGCTGTAAGAATATCGTAATGATAAAATCCGACTATATCAACAATAAGTTAACTATTTCAGAAAGCCTTAATGAATCGATTCAAAACTGATTCAACAAATAGTTCTATTTGTTCAAATATATGCATACAAATATTACCGTTTATGTGACATTACGATTCAATATAAAGTTTGTTCGTGGAAAACATGCTTTGTTTTCTTACGTTTAGAAAATAAAATCAAACTGTCTAAATGGTTAAAATGATAAAAAAAAAAAAATAAGTTTTAACATTTCAGAGCAAGTACATAGATTGAGCTATATCAGACAAATATCATCAGAAGCTAAAAAAAAATACTAATAGGCCTATATTTTAAGTCATATCACCTAGACGTAAGAGGCCCATAACATTCAAGACCAATATGTTTTCAAATGAATTACAAAAATTTGATTGCAAATAAACTGTTTGATATTTAGCTTACGCTTTTTCCTTCAATTTAATGTTGAAGTTATGCTTTCATTTTATCCCTTTACCTTTCGATTGCTGCGAACCAGACAGCAGCATGCCACATCTCCGTATTTTTTCCCGATTTTCAGCAAATCTGCTTCACTGTATTTTTTAGCCACTGGAAAACCTGCCACCTCAAGAACTTTGCCAAACTTTTCCTAAAAATTAAAAAATTTAAAAAAAGCAACTTAAAGAACTCAAAATCCCTTTGTGTAATTTATAGAAGACATCATAATTTGTGTTCCATATTTACACAATCACAAACCCTTTGAGGGAAAAACAGACAAACCTCAGTGCTTGAAGTCCAGATCTCCTTTTCATCCCCTAAAACAGAATGGACATACTTCCTCAATTATATTTGAAATATGACTAAAGAACAAAACATTTTTGTAAAACTGTTTTAGGAAAAAATACAGCAGAACTGTACTGCTTTTATGGTTGAATTATTCAATAACTGTGTAAAATAAATACCTTGTTCTGTCAACACTCTCTCCTTATCTAGATTTTCTGAGAAATCTGCTGCCTCCTACACAAACAAAACAGACAGATGTGTTTCTTTACCTTTTGTAAATATAGAATGTAACATTATTAGTTATGCATCACTACCAAGTGAAATACTTCTAAATTGTGAACATTTATATTCAATCAAAGGGGATCAGGAAATGACGCAAGCAGGACTTGAACACTTGTCGCACGAATGAGCACCAAAGCTGCTGGGCCATGACTCTAACAATTATTTGATATCCTTTTCTAGATACAGAGTCCTCAATTTCAAAATGTAGGTAACTAACTCTCATTTGCGTTTACCTCCTCCATCTCCACCGTATCGCCTTTTTGCTCCTCTTGTTGAAGCTCGTATTGTTCTCCGTGTTGAAGCTCTTTTTGCTCTTCTTGTTTAAGCTCTTTTTGCTGAAGCTCTTTTTTCTTTACATGAAGTACTTTTTGCTTATTCTCAAGCTCTTTTTGCTCTCCTTGTTGAAGCTCTTTTGGCTCTTCTTTAAGCTCTTTTTGCTTTTCTTGAAGCTCGTTTTGTTCTCCGTGTTGAAGCTCTTTATGCTCTTCTTGTTTAAGCTCTTTTTGCAGAATCTCTTTTTTCTCAACATCTTGAAGCTCTTGTTGTTCTTCTTGAAGTACTTTTTGCTTATTCTCAAGCTCTTTTTGCTCTCCTTGTTGAAGCTCTTTTGGCTCTTCTTGAAGCTCGTTTTGTTCTCCGTGTTGAAGCTCTTTATGCTTTTCTTGTTTAAGCTCTTTTTGCCAAATCTTTTTTTTCTCAACTTTTTGAAGCTCTTTTTGCTCTTCTGGCTCTTCTTGCTCTCTTTGTTGAAGCTCTTTTGGCTTTTCTTGAAGCGCTTTTTGCTCTCCTTGTTGAAGCTCTTTTTGCTCTCCTTGTTGAAGCTCTTTTTGCTTTTCTTGAAGCTCTTTTTGTTCTCCTTGTTGAAGCTCTTTGGCTTCCTTACAATCGCTTGATCTATCTGAAGTTGTAGCAGTTGGTACATGCTCTGACGTCTCTGGCTGTATGCTCGATGTGTCCATGTCTGAAGGTTTAGTCTGATCATCTGACTCGTTCACAGCTTGGACATCTTCAGATGCATCCTGTTCCGGTTCATCTGAGGTTTCATGCACCTCATCATCCGCCTCTTCATCTACTGTGAGCTCATCTTCTGAATTTAGTGCCTCACCATCATCTGCTATAACTGCCACTCCTTCAAGATCACTATCATCAGCCATCACATCAGACTGATCGCTGTCATCTTCAACAGTCTCCTCCACACTCTTTTCTGTTTTTGTTTTTTGTTTCTGGTCTTTAGGAGTGCTTCTTTTAGAACGGGATTTGGATGAGCTGTCCCGTTTTGAGCTCTCTTTGGTTCTCTCCCGTGAGCGTCCACTTTCTTCTTGTTTCTTAGAGTCTTGACTCCTGCGAGACCTGGACCTCTCCTCAGAAGCTCTTCGTTTGGGGCTGGGAGAATCTCTGTGGGATCTCCTTCTTGGGCTGCAACTCCTCCTCCTTCTCCTGCTGCTATAAGGTACTGGTGATTTTTCTTTGTCAGCATCCTTCATACTAGACCATTAAGAGAAAAACATGTTATTTTAGAAGTAGAGTGGAACAAATGTGCACCAAATTAAGGTCATGTGTGTAATGTCACTGGCGTTACACCGTGTCCTAACTACACGTGCCGCAAAGCGATAAAAAGTATCTTTTCCATGTTAATCAGAGTTTTTGTCCTAACCAGCCACGACGGCGACACACAAAGTTTCTATTTTAGGAACCCTCTGCTGGTCTCTGCTGGACCCTCTCGGATGGAACAACAACATACAAACTATGACAATGCTATTCTCAAGTACTGATTATGTGATTTATTCAATGTTAAAAGTGAGTTTGAATATCATTTTGCAAGACATTTATAGCCATACTGAAAACAACAATAGATCTTGAAAATAAATTAAAGCAAACGTGTATGTTAAGACTGTGAACTCAATGCGAACCAAGAAGTGTATTCCATAACAAAAATGGTATCAGTCACTCAGTATTTACTTTTAATAATGTTTAAAAGCTTTAATATTAGATAATTAGATGATAAACTTGTCCATTTCGTTGGGAGTGCAGTGCACTTCTGGGCTTTTGAATGGTTGTGATATTTGAGTGATTCTGTCGCATCTGGTTAGGACACGGTGTTACCCAACAAAACAGTCCAAATGCATAAAAAATGGTGTCTACGTAAGATCAGCAAAACACGTTTACCCAAGTGTCTGGTACTCAGTTGAGGAGCAAACGTTAATGGTTTTTCCTTTTATTTTGAGTGCATTGGTTGAATAATGCTCCACCAATTTGTTGGCCTCTTCCATGCTGCCCATCTCCACATAACCCTGCAAAAAGGCACAGTCTTTATATTTTATAGGTGACTGAAGAGAAAAAAACATGCCATAAGAATAATTGAGTAAAATATTTGTATAATAATAAGTCTGGCTACCCGGCTTGGGAGAAACAGTGAATTTTTTACTGATCCGAAACGCTTAGCAATGGCCGTCAACTCCGAGCGTATACCATCTCCAGAAGGTAGCGGTGAAAAGCTCACTACACAAGATGTCTGTGAAACATGAAGGAAATCATTCAATCAACATTGGTGGCAAACATTTAAACAAACAAATCAAATGGATGCAAGTCACTTTTGAAGGTGCCGTTGGTAGCTTCTGAATGGAATGGCACTTGGAAAATATCTCTGATCCCTTCTTAATAAAATAATATTAGGTGGCACAAGTTTCAAAATGGTTAACATCGCTTACAAGCAGGAGTTTTGAAACTGGTTCAATTAAAATTTTAGAGAAAAACTGTTTACCGTTTCTTCTTCCTAAAGACTAGATAAAAACATCATGAGCTCAAATCACATATTTTACAATAATTTATTTTAGTATTACCTCGGTGACAATATAACAACTAATTAAAGAAACAACATGTTGTCTTTCTAATATCACACTTAATATTTTCTCATACTGCATAAATGGGTTTTACACATGTAAATATGTGGCCGTATTTATATTTTAGGATATTTGGTGGGCCATGGCATCAAAAAGTCCAGGCTTACAGCACCTTCAATCTTTCATTTGATGAGCATTTAACAAAATTGTGCTGATCATTACTCACCTGTAGGAAACTGACTGCTGCAGACAGAGTAAATTTGATCAGTTCTCCTCTGATCCTCAAAGGGTTTTGGTAGAAATATTTTACTATATCCTCTGCCTGGCCTGCTGTTCCCATATTCACAAAAGCCTAAAAAAATATTACAGGAAAAAATTATTACAGCCCATTTAAAAATCAGATTCATATATATATATATTAAAAATAAATAAAATTCCATACCATTCTAGGTAACATAATAATTTTGACAATAGCCCCAAACTGGCCAAGCAATTTTTTCAGGTAAGCTTCGTCGAATTCATCCACTTCAAACTTGACACACACCACTTTGCACTGTAATTAAATGTAGTAAAATAAATAAATATAATAATGTCTGAACATCAGAACAGCAGTAAGTGAAACTAAAATCTACCTTCGATTCAGTATTATTGCGGTTTTGACTGCTTGATGATGCATGTCTACTGCTCGACGCTCCACTTCTGCTGCCTAACGATCCTTTTCTACTGCTTGAGGTTCCACCTGAACAAAAAGCCCAACACCTATAATATCTAGAAGATGCTCAAATCAGTATGAAGAGGATAAAGACTTTACCTCGTTCCTGTGTTGTTCTAGACGAGAGTCGATCAGAATGGGGCTCATTTCTGTTAAAGTGTATATGTTTAGCATGTAAGCCAACACATTTATTGAAATGTGCTGTTTTATGACATATAGTGAGGGAATGATTCTACCTTCGAGCAGACTGGATTGACTGATCCCACGCTGGATATCTAATGAACAAGGATATTTGTGTAGAACATTTATTTAATATGTAAAATATGTAAAAATACTAGCCTATTACTTTATAAAATGTGTGGTGAAGAATTGCACATGCTTTGTCTGTACATTGACTAATGTTTCATGTTAAGTCTGTTATCATTCTCACTATCACCAAATGTGTTTTTTAAACCGCTTGAATTTCATGTTTGGCAGAAAACATTATTTAGTGACAACATGACTGCGCAGGAGCTTTAGATAAAAATTAAAGAATAAAGTTGCGGATACTTACTTTTCCACAAGACTAAGTTGACTATGCGCATGTTGGGCTCCTTTTATATGCACAGACCAGTCCTAAAACACAAGTCATATATCTAAATATTCGTTCATGAGGCATTAAAATATATAATATGACACAATCAAAGTACATTTATAGTTCATATGGTTAAGAAACTTCCATCAATTTTAAACGAAAGTATTTACAAGTCATGTATACTTCTGTGCCAATGAGTTTTTCACACCCTCTAACTGCATATGCTATCAAAATTGACAGATCTTGAATTGTGGGTATTTGCTCTCTTATCAAAGGAAATCAAACAAAAATGACCATCATATCAAGAACACAGTCAATTATCAAGTCATTATTCAGTGAAAATTGTTCCTTCCAATATATCCCTTAAATCTCATTCCCACTAGCGCATATTCATAATTGTTGCATCAAGATGCATCACACCCAAGTATGACTTCATTGGCCAGTGACTCCATTGGTTCTTGCACGTCTTGTGACCAAACATGATGCGGCATATTTGCATATGCGGAAGCGGAAATGAGATTCGAGAACTACGGCAGTGGGATAATTACAGTGCATGAGTCGAATGGACTGCGTTTATGTTACTTTCTGTCTTTATCAGGTTCGATACAACATGACTGCGAATGGTGAACTACACCTTTAATGCATTACTACCTATGTGGATAATAAACATACTACTTGGACTTACCTCATATGCCACAGTACGCTCATGTGTATTTTGCTTGAAACGGTCTAGTAAATAGCTGGTAAAGTAGAATCTGTGAGAGCGAAAAAAGCTACTTACCTTGTCAGAGAGGACAGTGATATCGCAGAGCACGCATGCGTAGGGAAATACTGGTGGAGTTTTCCCGTGGAAATCTGACGCCTCCTTCCTGGTAGGCACTCTATGAGCCGACTCTGTCCTCCGGTGGTGTGACGATTGACTAACATCTCTGCTGGACAGGTGCGAGGGTGGAGCAAGGTCTCTGATGGACAGGAGCGAGGGCAGACCGACGTCTCTGCTGGACAGGAGAGAAGGTGGAGCGATGCCTCTGCTGGACAGGTGCGAGGGTGGAGCGGCGCCTCTGCTGGACTGGTGCGAGGGTGGAGCGGCGCCTCTGCTGGACAGGTGCGAGGGTGGAGCTGCGTCTCTGTTGGACAGGAGTGACGGTAGACCAACCTCTCTGCTTGACAGATGTGAGGACTGGCCAACGTCTCTACCGGACAGATGTGAGGACTGGCCAACATCACTACCGGACAGATGTGAGGACTGGCCAACGTCTCTACCGGACAGATGTGAGGACTGGCCAACGTCTCTACCAGCCAGATGTGACGAGTGGCCAACGTCTCTACCGGCCAGATGTGACGAGTGACTGACATCTCTGCTAGAGCGATGAGACGACTGACTGACGTCTTTACTGGACAGATAAGAGGACTGACTGACATCTCTGCTAGAGCGGTGGGAGGATTGACTAGCATCTCTACTGGACAGATGTGAAGAATGACTGTCGTCTCTGCTGGACAAATGTGAGGATTGACTAGCATCTCTGCTGTGGCTAGAGTAAGACTGCGGGACAACAGACGTTTTCTGCCTTGATGGTTCTGTGGCACAAGACGCTTTATCAAAATAAGACTCTTTGTCTTTCAGATGGTTGTAGTCAACCACATAGTTCGACTCAGAACTGGTGTACGTGCATGATGGAGAGCTTGTTTGTTGGATGTTTTCCCAGCGGTCGTCCCAGGTTGGAAGCTGCTCTCGAGGAATGGAATATGACTGACGGACAGGGAAATCCAATGGATACTCAACCAGCTGAGTGTGGCTCCTGTCGTCCCAGGAGCGAGATGACGAACTGGCTTGGGGCGCACTGGACCTAGATGAAGAAGTGCTGGACGCTTTCTTCTTTTTGATCTGTGCAAGAAGGTCCGGAAGAGTATCGGCTGCGATGAGATGCTCGGGAAGCTCGGCCAGAGTTTGAAGGTCTTCAGCATCCAGTCCACAGCTATGCAGAAAAGACAAAGCCTTAACAGAAGAGAGGACGGTCTCTGATGAGGATGGAGATGTCTGCTCTGGAGATGCGCCCCTAATTCGCGACCTGTAAGCGGTAGACTCCCGGTGATATTGGTCATCACTTGCGCTGTAATCATCAGCTGGGCTTCGGTATGGATGATTGTAAGACATGTTCCAAAGTTCCAGGTTAAATGATTATAGGACCTCAAAAAAAGCAGCTCTTGTAGTTGCTGTTCACCTGTTAAAAAAGATGTTAAGTAAGGAGACTTTGTTCTCCTTATATTGATACTACATTACTGAAGAGATGGGCTCCAGGTGGAAGATCTGCCGTGAATCCGTTGAGGTGTGTCACCTGTATCAGTCTTACCTTGAGATGAAAAATCAAATCATTCATACTTTGTGGATGTCTCTGGATTTGCTTTATATAACTTCAGCTGTATCAGACCAGTAATATTACAACTAGTAATTAATGTAACTTGCAGATGACACGTTTTTAATCAATTTCTCTTTCAACATGCATTTATAATGCCTGTAAATTAATATATAAGGACAAATGATAGCATGGCACTGCTTGACATTTCATGTAAACTAACTCAATGGAGGTGGAGTTTATTTTTCAACTTAAAAGTGAAGAATAATTTGACGGTTTTTCCTGAAATGTTGCTAGACCTGATGCTAACCGCCATATTCCCGCTAACGCAATACATCATAGGACACATCAGCAAATTACAGACATTACGAAGGCACTAATCAGTTTGTATTGATTTATAAAACCTCACCTACACAAGCTGGAATAAACCAAACGATCGGTAAAGCTCTGCAAAGCTGCGGTTACCAAAGCCGTTCTTCTTCTCTTGGTGTCTAAACCGGAAATGTGATCTTTCAAAATAAAAGTCACAAAAGACGTATCGTTTGTATTATTGTGAATAAAATGTAATGAATAAATACATTTTATTGAGAAATAAATACTAACATATACACTATAACATTATTTGTTTAGAACAACACTTACATATAAAGTTAACTTAAAAATAAAGCTCTGATAACACTAATTTATTACATTGTATATTACATAGGCCTATGTATGCCCTGTTGAAAAAAAACAGCATATGCTCGTTAGGTATGTTTTGACGCTGGGATGCTGGTTTAAGCTGGTCCTTTGAAAGGACCAGCATAAACCAGCAAATGACCAGATTAAACCAGCAACGGACCAGTTTAAACCAGCAAAGGACCAGCTTAAACCAGCAACGGACCAGTTTAAACCAGCAAAGGACCAGCTTAAACCAGCAACGGACCAGTTTAAACCAGCAAAGGACCAGCTTAAACCAGCAACGGACCAGTTTAAACCAGCAAAGGACCAGCTTAAACCAGCAACGGACCAGTTTAAACCAGCAAAGGACCAGCTTAAACCAGCAACGGACCAGTTTAAACCAGCAAAGGACCAGCTTAAACCAGCAACGGACCAGTTTAAACCAGCAAAGGACCAGCTTAAACCAGCAACGGACCAGTTTAAACCAGCAAAGGACCAGCTTAAACCAGCAACGGACCAGTTTAAACCAGCAAAGGACCAGCTTAAACCAGCAACGGACCAGTTTAAACCAGCAAAGGACCAGCTTAAACCAGCAACGGACCAGTTTAAACCAGCAAAGGACCAGCTTAAACCAGCAACGGACCAGTTTAAACCAGCAAAGGACCAGCTTAAACCAGCAACGGACCAGTTTAAACCAGCAAAGGACCAGCTTAAACCAGCAACGGACCAGTTTAAACCAGCAAAGGACCAGCTTAAACCAGCAACGGACCAGTTTAAACCAGCAAAGGACCAGCTTAAACCAGCAACGGACCAGTTTAAACCAGCAAAGGACCAGCTTAAACCAGCAACGGACCAGTTTAAACCAGCAAAGGACCAGCTTAAACCAGCAACGGACCAGTTTAAACCAGCAAAAGGACCAGCATAAACCAGCAAAGGACCAGTTTAAACCAGCAAATGACCATCTTAAACCAGCAAAAGGACCATCTTAAACCAGCAACGGACCAGATTAAACCAGCAAAGGACCAGTTTAAACCAGCAAAGGACCATTTTAAACCAGCAAAGGATAACAGTACTAACCTAATGCAGAGGAAACTATGGTTAAAATGTTAAATTATATAAAGACAATTGTCTTTTATCTTTGCCAAAATCCAAAAAGCCCTGTAAATATTGGAAGTTGTATATACAGACCAGAGACAGAGACAAAGAATTGACTATTTCTTTTTTCCAGACATTTATTGCCAGTAGTGCCCTAACACGTGCTATATTACAAAATATTACTATTATTGTCAAAGTGCACTTAAAAAAACAACAAAATGGTGGCAAGACAAAAAAAACATTTGACTGTAAGGTGCTCTAGGCATGACTGATTAATTACATTATAAAAATGTCTAAGGAATGCAGAAAGTTTAATAAAATAATAGAAACACAAAAATACAGTAGTAGCAATTAAAGCGCAAAATGTTAGGAGAGCTTTGACTTGCTTATGAATGCACCAGCTCTCACTGCTACATTAAATGGAGCAAAACCTGTCTAATCATTTTTTATAAAAAAAAGAAAATAAAAAAAGAAAGGCATAACGGATATATTAAGAGATGTTCCAGCATGAGTGCTTCATTTCTTCGGCTTGTTACTCTGTGCTTTAGTTTCCTCCTCTTCCAAATATTTCAGTTGAGGAAAAAATAAATAAACAGAACAGAATTTGTTTCAAAAACATATTGTATAACAGCTTCTCAAGTAGTGAGGTCAAAACTACTTTGGTTCTGCATTTTAGCAAATCCTCATTACAACAACTTCTTGCAGACACCATGCAAACAAGATATTTGTGCAGTGTAATCATAATCTTTTTATTATTATTATAACTGGAGTTTTCACAAGAGTGCAGAACTCAGTTTACTCAGGCTAAACTGAAGTGACTGACAGCTTCATTGATTACATTTACATTTAGTCATTCAGCAGACGCTTTTATCCAAAGCCACTTACAAATGAGGACAATGGAAGCAATCAAAATCAACAAAAGAGCAATGATATGCAAGTGCTATAACAAGTCTCAGTTAGCTTAACGCAGTACTCGTAGCAGTTTTTAAAAAAATTATATAATAAATAAAAAGAAAACAGAATAGAAAAAGAATAGAGCCCGCTAGTGTTAGAGGTCTTTTTTGCTTTTATTAATTGTATAATAAATGAAAAGAAAACAGATAGAATACAAAAAGATTAGAAAGCATGTGTACGTTTTTTTTTTTTTTAAGAAAACAAGCAGCAAATGAATAGAGTGCAAGTCTAAAAGTGATTACAAAGGGAGCAGTCTTTGCTCACTTTCTGTAATGCAAACTTTAATATCAAATGCCTGGCTTTGAGAAACAATGTATCAAAGCCATCTTACCAACGGGGACATTATTAAGAGTAGCACGGCTAGTTTCTAGCTTTATTTGAGGTGGTGCTGGTGTAGAGCCTTTCCCCCCCAGTCTTCACACTCTTCACTGATACAACAGAGAAAGACGTAACAGTCTCTTCATCTTCAGCCTCCTGGTCAAAGGACAGCAAAGGAAAGCAGTGGATAAATCTCTGTCTGCTGCATGGGGTTCCTGCTCTGGGCTGAGATGTATCACTCCGAGTCTCCTAAAACAGCCCATCATGCCGTTTGATGTTGTAAATCAGATTTAGTGCACACTGTCATGGTATGCACTACACAAGACAAATAATATAACGATATATATATATGTGTGTGTGTGTGTGTGTGTGCATGTTTATGTGGTTTATGAGGACACAAATTTGTATAATAACATGGGTATGACATAGGTATTACAACAAGAAGGTGATTTATGAGGACATTTTCAGTGTCCCCGTAATTCAAAAGGCTTATAAATAATTCAGAATGAGTTTTTTTGAAAATCTAAAAATGCAGAAAGTTTCCTGTGAGGGGTAGGTTTAGGGGTAGGGTTGGTGTAGAGCAATAGAAAATACGGTTTGTACAGTATAAAAACCATTACGCCTATGGAGAGTCCCCATAAACCATACAAACAAACCTGTGTGTGTGTCAACCTACAAAAATTAGAGAACAACCTATAATTTCCTAAATTTCAAGGTCACTGATTAGTCCTATTTGGTCTTATCCCACAACAGGAATAGAAGGGCAGTTTTTAAGCATATTTCATACATTTATTGTATTCTGAAGCAGAGTATAAAAAAACTTTTTTGAAATGATTTGAAAAACAATTCTGATCAAAATGAGAGAACACTTACAGATACCTCCAGTTATTGGTGTTAATCTGGCACCTGATGCTAATTTCCTTAATTATATGACAAACCCTATTAAACTGGCAGCATTCCTCTAATTCTCACTGAGATTGCAAGATGGCGGGCCGCTCTAAGGTGACTGAAACCCTGCGATAGGATGTTGTCCAGATGAAGGCTAAAGGGATGACCCTTTCAGCCATTGCAAGAGAAGTTTGTCATTCCAAATCAGTGATTTCTAGAATATTGCATCTTTACAATGACAATAATTAATTCAAGTCCCCCAAAAAGGCTGGTCGTCCACGTAAGACAAACGCAGGAGAAGACAGGATAATGCGGAGACTCTCAACGGGGAATCGGTTCAACACTGCAGCTGGAATTGCTCTCCAGTTTAGCTCTGAACAGGGTAAGGATCTGTCTCGGCACGTTTAAGAGAAGTTGGACTGAAAGCGCACTCTGCAGTGACCAAGCCTCTCATCAGCAGAGAGAATCAGAAGGCTGAGCTCATCTTTGCTGAGGAGCATGTTGTGTGGAGAGAGGAGAACTGATCCAAAGTTCACTTTAGTGATGAGAGCAAGTGTAATTTATTTGGGTTCGATGGGAAACATTATGTTCGGCATCAAACTGGGGAAAGACTGAACCTAGAGTGTGTAAAGAAAGGTGGAGGAGGAAGTGTCATGGTTTGGGGCATGTTTGGAACTCTTATACAGATACATGGCAGGTGAATGCAAAAGTTTATCAGAACCTCATTCAGCAACATGTGGTTCCTTCCCTGCAAACATCTCCTAATCAGCCTGCAATTTTCATTCAAGACAATGCCCTTGTCACACTGCAAAACGGGCAAAGCAGTTTCTTAAAGCCAAGAACATTGAACTAATGAAATGGCCGGTCCAGAGTCCTGATCTAAACCCAACTGAAAATCTCTGGAAAATCGACAAAATTATGGCTAAGAAACCCACTACAGTCCGAAGTATGGAAGAGACTGGAAGAAGAGTGGACCAAGATCACACCAGCGCAGTGTGAGAAACTAGTGATATCCTGCGGCCGCAGATGTGCTGAAGTCACTCAAAGCGAGGGCCTCTACACTTCCTAATAATTTTTGACAGCTGGAAGTAACCCTCCAAAATTGTGTAATCTTCTTTTGCACTACATTGGTTACTGTTCTCTAATTTTGATCACTGTGTTTGCCAAAAATAAAGGTTTTTGTTGAAATGCCTTGGTTATTTTGGCAAACATGTTAGTAGAACAGTGGTATACTCAAAGCTAGTATTACTTAAAGGGGTCATCGGATGCAAAATTCACTTTTGTTGTTGTTTGAAAATAAATGTGTGTTGGAAGAGTGTGTATACACATCCACCCTACAATGATAAAAATCCACCCAGTGGTTTTGTTTTAAATCCCTATTTTAAAATCCCCTTTCTCAAATCAGGCTGTTCTGAGATTCCTGTCAGAGTGACATAGTTCTGCACAGGCCCCTCCCACGATAGTTTATTAACAGTAGCGTTTCAGCACAGACTGGACTGGTGTCTTACCTTAGACCCGCCCTGACTGAGCGGTCATCAGTCTGCCATTGTGTCGACTCCAGTGCAGGGGAAGACAAGAA